GATATAGAGCTAAAAATGTCATGTTTAACATAGCACCACGTTCTTGGGGTTTTAAATCTAAGAGTCTCAATCCATACACACTTTTGAGAAGAAAAATACATGGAGTTTGGAAAGGCAGGTTTCAGAAATGAGCTCAGCATGGCACTACCAGGACAAGGTCCATCACTTACAGCTTCTTCCAGCCACTCCAGGGATGCCACAGAAAGACCTTCCAGGGAAAGAGCTGATTTACAGCAGGCACTACATCAAATAGTACAAAATGTCAAAACCCCTACATCTGGTCAGCTGTCTGCTAGGAATGCCACAAGTCCTGTGGCCAAGGCAGATGGTAGGAACTGCCAGCTGGGCTAGTGGAGCAGGAAAGGCAGCACAAAACTAGAAACAATAATTGGGTCACATAATCCCCACAGAGCACATTCTCACCTGAGGATCCAGGATCCACTCAGGACCACTCCAGGATCTCCCATCAGAGGCATGTCTGATGTTTCCTGGCACCCTCATCCCTAGGGGTGTCTGTCTCCAGCAGGACAAGGAGTCCTTGCTCTCCAGGTCTCCCACCAGCCTGTGTTCAGCAAGTCTTCATTCTATACAACACATATTTTCCTTCTACACAAGAATAACTTAATGTCCTCTCAGTCCTTGGGTACTGCAGAGCTCAACCACAGTGGCCTAGATGCCACCTGGGCAGCACCAACAGATCTTTCAGATGCATGATCTCCATACCAACATATGCTCTCTGCTGCCAGAGATACTTGAGGGGGAAAAAACCCAGCTTGGTTTTCAGATCCCAGGTGGAACTTGCAGGATCTACAAGAGGTATGTGAGTAGGAATCAGCAACTGAGTATTTCAAAGGAGAACCCTTTGGGGTTGACTGCTCTGTTCAGACAGATCAACTTCCCCACAAGGCAATGGAGAAAGAGTAAAAGCAGCAGAGGAATGTGTAGTCACAGAGCTCAGCCCCATTATTAATATCATCTGATAAATAAGAGTACTAACATTTGTGGTGGTTTAAATAAGGCTTGGAAGCACTCAAGGATTCTGCCTTTAGGTGATACACAAGTCAGAGAAAAAAAAAAAAGCTGATTTTTAAACATCCAGTAGTGTTCAGCTCAGAACCCATATGACTGGTAAAGGTTCTGCCCTTCTGCTTCAATCAAAACCAGACTAAATTCTGAGCTAAGATGACACCCTTTACCCCAAGAGTTAACACCCCCTCTTTCCACTTTTAACACTGCAAGTGATGAGCAGTCCTTGGAGGAAGAAGCTACAGCAGCTCGAGGAGGAAACCAAAAGGCTATTATGATAAAAATGTCTAAGAGGACCTCATGGACCCTTGCTGGGACTATCAAGTCAGTTTGTGTGGGACCAGGAAGTGAAAGGTGCATTGAAAAAATGCAAATTCTTTCACATCTCTCTGTTTTAACACACTAGTGTAAGGAAAACATGGTTTTGCTTGGGGGTTTGTGCATCTGAAATCACTACAGGGAACTCGAGGTGAGTGCAGCTCTCAGGTTAGAGTCAGAGGCTTAAATTGTGATGTTGATTTAAGCAAGTTCTTTAATCTGCCTGTAAGAAAGATTTCAAGCAGAGATTCTCCTTTCAGGTCAGCCTCTCCTCTTCAGGTCAATTTGCTGAAAGGTCTAAGCTTATTAACTCTGTAAGAACTGAAGTGCTGGGGGACAAAGGCAAATGCCTGCACTTGAAAGACCAAATACCTTCTCCCTACGTTTTATTTGAAGAGGAAGTAAATGAAACAAGCCAAGACTTTTGATTTCCTGTGGTATAGGGTGTTTATGCCACAGGAGGGCACTAAAGCCATGCTGAAAGAGGATCATTAAGCTCTTGCTGTAGCAGCTGCAGAATGAAGTCAGGAAGGCAGCATGCATTGCTGTCACAAACCCACTGGCTCCAGAAAAGCATCAATGGCATGCACAGACATCCCCAGTGTACTCACACTGCCTCTACTTCCCACAGAGCAGCACAAAGCCTGCTGTAAAAGTGCTACCCTGCCAAGGAATGAAAGACAGTGAGACTAAAGAGAACTTGAAGCTGTGCTTCATGTTTCCAACACCAGCAGGCCATAAGATTCTGAATTTTGATCTTCCCTGAGAGAATGCAAAGTGCACGAGCTCATAATGAATTGGAACTGCCACAAGTAGACACTCAAAGCCAGATAAAAATACTTATCACATGGTAAAAATCAATTTTGAAACCACAAAGGTGTGCAAAGCAAAGCCTGGCAATGCACCCTTTCCATGCCAGACAAAAATAATGCTGCTTTTCTCTACTAGCTGAATGAGCACCACAATGCCCAAGTATCTAATTTCTGCAGCTCTGAGAGTTGACACATGTTTTTCACATCCAAGTTTTTTCACTCTTGTATAACCAGTGCCTTGGTCCTGTTATTGTGTGTCTGATACAGCTGCTTAGGCAGCTGTCAAGAAACAGAAGTTTCTGCTCCTTAACTTGCTTCAGGAACTGACCTGAAACACCCTTAACCCTGCCAAGTTACTTCTTGAAGGATCACCACAGGATACTCCTGGACCAATGAAGTCTTCTGGCCATTTTTCTCAGTTATTTGGGACCAAGGCAGCATGTGAGCCCTTGCTCCAAGGAATGAAGCATATGTAGCACTGCTGCTGTACACATCCCATATTAGTTATAATTGATTCAGCTCTTGCAGTTGCCTAAAATACATGTCATTGGTGATGTGGTTGTACTAATTTTGGGCACTTCACAGACCTCCTCTATAAGAAAAAACCCACTAAAATCCTTTTCAGACTCAAAAATCCTTTTACAGTGAAAACAAGCACTTAAACAAACCTCAACAGAAGAGACAGAAGTCAAATAGAAGAGTGTTGGAGGTTTTTAATACCTCTTCTCACATCTGTGAAGTGACCTGGCTTTGAAATCTAAATTCCTTATGCAAGTTCACAATTCAAACTTACAATCCCTTTTCCATTGTTTTCTTTGGATTGGAGGATGAAGAGAAGACTCCCAAAGTTTCAGGATACTTTGAAGTGCCAAGTGTGATTTCTGGGTGTGCATTCTTGAAATAATTCTGGTTTTGGAGACTTAACCTCACTTTTATGCAGCCTGTCAAAGCTCCTCTCAATTTGATGTTTACAGTGAGGAAGAAAAGATATTTCCCCAAACCTTCTGCAAACAGGACAAGCAAATCTGCCTTTCCATTGCTGAATTGTGAGTTTTAAACCACAAATCATCATCCAGGTTGAATTAACCAGTGTGTTTGTTTACACTCTGCACAAGAATGGACAAAGAACATTTAAGCTATTTGCCAGGTTTGTACTTGGAGGTTTCTTGCACTCAGACCTACCTAAAGGATATTATAAATAGAAAAGAGAAAGAAAGAAAGAAATATTAAGACAGGAAGAGTCCTAGAAAAAAGCTAAAAATAGAAATATGAAGTAAAATACTTAAATACTGGAATACTGAAATTTAATGAGCAAATTACCCTGCTAAGGCACATTCAGCTCTCTCTTAATTTAGCAGCTTCACAGACTCCTTAGCAAACAAAACTGACCCCAGTGTGTTTGTGCTCACTGTTAACTGGGGCCAAGCTGGCAAAGAAGAAAGAAAACACTCTTCTGAGAAGCACTTTTGGGTTTCTCCTCACATTCAAGAAACACCAACTCCTAAACAGAATGTGAAGTAATAGCTGACCTCAGAATGAGCAGCCTGGATCAAGAGGCCATACAAACAGCAGCCCAGAGGCAGCTGAACTAGAGGAGTGTACTTTTAAAGTATTCTGACAAGTTTAAAGGAGAGAAGCATACAAAAGAAAGATATAAGAGATGAATTTGGGGTTCAAATACAGTCACTGCTCATCACCACCCCAGCTCTGTGAATATACTTTCTGCTTAACTGCAGAATAAGAGTGGTTATTGATGAGGTGTGACTGGAACAACTGCAGTGGCATCAGCCATGCTGTACCAGGAGATGTGGTGGCCTCTAGTCTATGCTGAGGCTGTGTAATTCTGGACACTAAATCAGAGGAGGCTTCTCTATGTCTTGGTAATAGAGAATGAAATAAAAAATCAGAGGAAGGCCTAGCAAAACTAAAAATCCAAAGCACTTCTCTCACCTGAGGTTTTCATATAAAACCAAAGGAAAGATTAGATGGAAAGAAAACCTTAGTAACAATTTGAGGGACAAGAAATCACAAAAATGTATTCATAAAAGTTCTTCAGGATTGCTCAGGAGCAGCATATTAGCTAAGTGCAAGGACAGAGAAAATACTTGAAATATCCAGTGATTTTTCATTTCATTTTCAATGAAAGAATCCATCTCCAAAAGCTGTTATTGGTTTTTAGCCACTATGGACAATAAAGTGTTCTAGATCAAACATTTAAAAATCATTTTTTGGGGAGAGCTTGGGTTCAAAGGCATTCTTCTTAGAGATTTTTGGAGGGTTAAGAGCCATGACCACAGACCCCATATAAACAAAACAATGCTGACACAATACAGCCTGTTCTGTAAAGACTGAACACTAGAAAATACCATCCAAAGTACTGAACATGCTGAAAGGATCAAAACTAAACTGCTCTTCACCAAATTCTTCAGCTTTAAGAAAACATGTCCATTTTACATGAGTGTACAATTTGGAGGGATGTGCAAAGGGGCTGTTGAGTAGCTTAGCACCAGGAGCTGTGCACTTCTCTAAATACTGAACCCAGAACTCCTCACTGACTACCAAGAGATAGCAGTGAGGCTGTTTAGGTGTCACTGACACACTCAGGAAGTCAACTGCATTCAGTGTCAGCCCTCTGGATAATTAAAGTCATCCCCAAGCACTTCTTAATGGGCTGTTTTCTATTAAAGCAGTGCCTCAACCTTGGTCCTTATAGGGAGAAAGCATGATAAAGCAAAAGGGAGTATCCTGGGCAAAAAACCACCCAGGAATCAGGGATTTCAGATGCAACAGCCAAGGCCAGCAGACACTGCTCCACTTGGGGTCCATCTTTCAGCAGCTGCTTACCTCTGCAGGCAGAGGAGGTGATGTTGTAGAGGAAGGGGTAGAACTGCAGACAGCGGATCATCTTCAGGCTGCCCTCACACTCCAGGCACCTGGTGGCCAAGTCCAGCCCCTGCCTGAAGGCCTGCAGGGCTCCACTCAGGTTGTTCAGGGCCAGGTATGCATTCCCTAGGCTCAGAAAAGTCAGGGGCTGCCAAGAGAAAAGCAACATACCCCAGCCTAAGTGACTCTGCTGTTTAGAATTGAAGCTAGGACAAAAAAACCCTGTCAGTCCACACCCTCCCAAATTTGGCTGCAAAGAATTTAGAGAATTTCTTCAGTAAGGACTGCCTGTTCTTTAGAATGGAGAACTTGATGCACTGCTGCTAAACAAAATCTGTTTTGACATCAGGTTGTGCTGAGGATTCCATCTTCCTATGGTGAAAACTAGCTGTTAAATACACCCGAGCTGAAATGAAGCATTCAGTGCTTCTAACCCCTCACAGAAACAATCCTGACTGCACAGAGCAGCAAAAAAATAAACTGAAAGCCCTGAAGATGTTTTAGAATGGTTAAAAGTCAGCAAAATGTAAAAATATTACTAGTGTTCTAGCAGGAGAGATGTGTTTCATTTGTCAGGAGTGTTCAGGAGTTACCTGAGCAGATGTAGGTCACTGACAACACCAATGTCACACTAGTTTAGGGGTATATATTTATGTTTGCTTTCAATTCTTTATGAAATATTTTAATATTTAAAATATTTATCTAGTCTCCTTAAAAGGTGTACTTTTTTTTTTTTAAAGGACAAATTATAAACACCTTCTTCACTGGGTAGAATTTAATTAGCACTTCAATACAGGCACATAGTAAAACATTCCATTTTGGTTATTGTCAAAAAAGTCTCTCACTTACATAATTTGCTGCAATTAACAGTATAATACTAGAATAATGACTATAACTTTGTAATTTAGAAGTCATTTTTTCCACCAAAATAATTTTATATTCATCATCTGAAAAGGTGGGGACTGATCAGTAGCTTAAGATTTCCCAAACTTTTTATAATTTTATTAAACATCAGCCCAAAAAAAGTGGAAACTGGGCAAAAAAATGATTTTTTGGAAACAGCTTTCACTAGTACAGCAGATCCTTCACTCTCTGTAGTTGTAATTCACTTGAATTTGTATTTACTTCCCACTATCTTCCAGGAAATACTATTCAAGTACAAATCCTCCTGCTAGAGTTTTTGATACAGTAGGTATTACAGGACTGAAAATGCCTGAAAAAAATCAGAGTAGGCTGATTTTAAGGAGGTAGGACTTGCCAAATTTTTGAAGAAAAGCTCTGTTCACAGCCCAGTCCTACAGATCCCCAGGCTCCTCCTCTCCAGACTCTGCTTTCCAGTGTTTTTCTTGAGCTTAGTTCTTTCTAGAGTTCCTTTCTGCACTCCTACCTGCCACCCAGATGGGCTAGACTCCTTTCCAACAATTGCAAAATCGTTCCTGAATGCTGCACTGAAAAAGCTTATTCTGGTTTTAGCTTTTTTTATGTGCTAGATGACTGGTGGCTCAGCAGGTTTAGGCTCTCTGTTTAACTAACAGAGGTAGAAGCACAGGGAAAAGTCACTGGAACTTCTCACTGAAGCATCTCAAATATAAGCTCAGAACTACTTGCTAGAGAAAAGCTGCTGTGCATCCCCTCCATTTCCTTTTCACAATTGTTCTGGCCAGTCCAACAGTTTGAAGAGTTTATACAGAAACTTCCTACATGACATAGTTGACAACCTACAAAATGTGTATAATTGCACCTTGCAGAAATACCAAAACTTGTTTTGAATCTATGGTTAGAAGTGAAATCACAAAATGACCAGAACACAGCTTCTCTTTCAGGTATATAGATTAAATTTAGGGACAAATAAAACAGTACAGATAAAAAGTGGTAGAGAAAAAAGTCTATACAGCCAGAGATCTTAGTGACAGATGTGTTACTTGAAGGGTTTTAAAAATCAAGACACAATGTTGACAGCACTACAGATCTGTGTTTTAGATAAAAGTGTTGCCAAAACACCAGGGTTACCTTCCTTGGAGCCACAGGTTTTGGGAGGCAAAAAGTCTGTCATGTGTTTTAGAAAAACTTCTCCTCTAGATGTTTATATTCTCAGCAAAGAGCATCATCCCCAGTGTGATCAAGAGTTGAAATGAAGACTGACATCTGTTGCAAATGACAGGCTGCAAGCTGAACTGCATGCACAGCTAAGTAAGCACAGAGTATTTAGAAAATCCTCTAAGTAGAGTATGTAGAAAATCATGAAGGAAAAGACATTCAGCACCAAACCAACACAAAACCCCTTACCTCAGAGGCATTGATGGCCAAAGCCTCCAGGAGGAGCTTGCTGGCATCCAGATGCAGACCATAATGCATGAGGAGGTTGGCCAGGTTGACCAGAGGGATGTCCTGGTACTGGTGGGGAGCCAGGTTGAATGCCTTCTGCAGGCAGGTGACTGCAAAGGTCCCGTTGCCAGCCGCACGCCAGTACAACCCAGCTTCGTTCAGCACCAGCCACAGAGGATCTTCTGGCTGTTGGAGAGTCAGAGAAGGATGAAAACACCCCCCCAAGAGGTGCTGCCTGCTCTTTGGGAAGAAACACAACTCACCTCATTAGCTAGATGGAAATTGCACCTTGCTGTGACAGCTCCCAGGCTGCTCAGTCTGCCCTGCTCTGTTCTAATGGATGGGATTGACAGTCTGAACTGGAACTGAGTAGCAGCTGGTGCTCACACTCTACTCATGACCACAAAAATCCCTTAAAACATCCAGGGGATGATCATTAGCCCACTTCAGGAAGCACTATTTGTGAGCCACTTCAGAGCCTTCAAATCACATCAATACAGCACTAAGCAGGTATGTTACAATCTGAAGGTCAGGCAGCTGTTAAATTGTAGGTGGACGTGATTCCAGGTCCCACATCCAACATGAAGATTTGCTGACAACTTAAGGTTTCAGAGTTGTTTTTTCTTAGATTTAGTTATCTCTTTCTGAAAGCTGACAAGTGACAAGCATGAGATACTGCTTGAAGGTTATAAAATAGCAGGCAAGAAGGGAGGGCAGGAGGAAGAGTGGAGGAGGTGTCAAATACACCTTGAATGTTCCTTCCTCCTCTTTCACCTACAATGGAAAAAAAACACCCTAGAGGAGAAATAACCAAACTTTAAAACACTGGCAGGTGAACAGAGCTATGTAAAACATCCACTTTCAGATGGAGGAGTTGGAAATAGTTCAGAAACATTTATATTGTAGTTTTTAATATTTTCAGTAGTCCACATTTCTCAATTCTACAAAGAGATTCAAGTCTAAAAGCAATAACTGAATTTACTGTCTAAACCAGCCTAGAGGTCTGAAGTACCTGAGTAGGCAACATGCAGCTAAGCTAAAAGAAGCCAAACAGCTCTGGATTTTTACAGTAGTATTATATTAACACAACACAGCCAGCACTCCAGTAACACCAGGCTGAAAAACTTCATCAGGACAAAGATCTCCCTCCAGCTTTTGAAGACAACCTCACAAAGTTCCTCCTCATGTCCAAGGTGAACCAGGAGATGTCAGTCTGATCTGTTACCTCTTTGCTGAGAGCACCTGACACAAGCTCTGAGGGTCAGAGCCTCTATCACCCCTACTTTGCAATGATGCAGAACAGGGATGACACAACAGTGTTGTTACAACACTGAGGAGTTCAGACTTCTAGCATGAAAGCAACAAAATACTACAGCTCAACCCAAAATAACTACACATGGCAGCAATAAGACATTAGACACGTTCAGGGGTGATCTGAGCAGCAGAATAATAGGAACCAAGTCCTACTGTTCATCTTGCTCCTGGGTAAGACAGCTGCACATGGTACATGGCCCTGATTTTAGACTGGAAACAATACACACATACACAGCCTTGACATGACTTGTACCAGAGAGTTCATGTGAGAAATATCAGCTTGGCACAGCCAAAAGAGTCAACCTCTATCTCCATGCTTCCTGTCACTTGACTTGTGATGACTCCCCAAGGCCCCAGGCAAGGTGGAGGTGGTGTTCCAGGGGGTGCTCCACAGATGCACACTCTTTGCCCCAGAGTGATAATTATCCTGACAGAAGACTGACAGAGGGTTGGGTTCTTTGGAGAGGGGTTTGGGGAGGAAGGCAGGGGAGTGAGAAGGAGGAGGAGGAGGAAGAGCATAAGGAAAAGCAGGCAGGTAGAGAGTGCTGAAAGGTAGAGGAATAGTTCCAGACTATTTCCCTCTGTTAAGCAAACAGCAGCCAGGATTAACAAATATTGCTTTGTCCTGAAGTCACAACAAGAACAAGGAACTACAGGGTCCACACTACCCTAAATTAAATGGCTACTTCTCCACAGGTTTGTGCTTTACTTGTAAACATGGATTTTAAAGTTAGTTTCATCTCAGTTACAGGCAGCAAATAAGCTTTTAACTTGCACAACACCAACTGACTCCTTTAGAAGTACAGAAACAAAGCTCAAATAATTCTGAGTTGATCTCATGCTACATTTTTTGGACCTACCTTTTTCATGGCATGGTCTAGGAAGGCTCCTATCTTGGCCTGGGTAATGGTTTGGTTGTTGATACGAGAGTGCAAAACCTGGACAACAGAGATTTTTATTGTTTTTTTTTAATTGACTGATTAGATTTTACAGTATGTATCTACATGAGTCATTCAAGTCTCACTTTTTATATCCTCCTTTTAGCAAAAGGGGGAAGAAAAAGGAAAAAAAAAAGTTCTAAACAATGTGAACATAGAATGATTAAAGCAGCCCATCTCCAGACAGTAACATGAAAGACTCCTCTCAGCCTAAAGTTACCCAGCTGGTACAACAGTAGTTACTGGAAAACCCTGGGAGATGAATCATGGCAAGGGATTGTTAGAAGTTTTTAAAGGAAGCAGGAATTTCAAATAGTAACTTAAATTTCCTATTCTGTGAGCTTTTGAAAGAAGTCAGGCAACAAGTCTTATGCTGAGTGATGAGCTCTCCCTTTCTCCAGCTTAGCAAAAAGGGGAAGGATATAAAAAAAGTTTAAACAATGTGAACATGGAATGATTAAAGCAGCCCATCTCCAGAAAGTAACATGAAAGACTCAGACTAAAGTTACCCAGTTAGTACAACAGTAGTTACTGGAAAACCCTGGGAGATGAATCATGTCAAGGGATTGTTAGAAGTTTTTAAAGGAAGCAGGAATTTCAAATAGTAACTTAAATTTCCTATTCTGTGAGCTTTTGAAAGAAGTCAGGCAACAAGTCTTATGCTGAGTGATGAGCTCTCCCTTTCTCCAGCCCTATTAGAAGCACTTGCTCCCCTTTTTTCCAAGTACCAATCAGCTCGTGGCACCAAGCCATCTTTTAAATATCAGAATCTTTCATGTTCTGAGTAGGATTTTTAAGGCAATAAAGAGAAAAACAGCAAAACAGAAGAAAACCAATGAGAAAACGTTTCTTACTTGTCTTGCTTGATCATCTGGCATCTTGAATTTCAACTGCAGATGAGTGTCTAGTTCCTTCACCAGCATGTTGAGAGATTCATTGTTACGAGTGTCAGTAATGGAAGAGCAGTCTGGGGCCTGGGATTCTCCATGCCCAGCAGCATCTCTTGGGATACTCAGGATTGGGTGGACTCTAGCAATAGGGAGAGCCAAGAGACATTAAAACCATGTGCTGCACATCACTGGTGTATAAACATAAGATCCAGCTACTGACAAACCTCACTGTCCTGAGCTGCAAACCAGGAGAGTTCAAGGATCACCCCTCCCCTTCAAAAATCATTAATAAATAAGGTCTTTACTTTGTGTTTTTAAGCATAGAACACCTGAAAAAAAAATAGACAATGCAGACAGAAGACACAGAAAGTTCTCCTGTTGTGTCTCACTGTTCTAACACTGAGTAGGATACTATGAAATTGCATTGATCTGCAGAAGCAGCTCTTACAGCATAGACACATGAATTTTATCCTGTGTAATAACAAACACTACTGACTACCCCACAATGAAGCTGCTCTTTGCCTCTGTCCCAGAGGAACCAGCCAGGGCTTTCCACTCCAAATAGTTTTCAAGTATTTTATGTTCTTTACAATTTTCTGTTATCATAACTAAAGCCAGGAAGATGTATGCAATGTACAACAGTTAACTGTAGTTATTAAATAGACACACCTCATTCTCTCTGTCTCAAAGTCTCTTTTTGTTTCTTAAATACACTCCACAAGACTCTCAGACTTAAATCCTCATTCTTTGGAGTAATACTGTGGGATATTTCACATATTCACTTTGTACTAACAGTCAGGGAAGAAGCACCATGATATTAGATCACTATAAGCCAGGAGGATGTATGCAATGCACAACAGTTAATTGAAGTTATTAAATAGACACAATTAATTCTCTCTCTCTCTGTCTTTTTTTGTTTTTTAAATACACTCTGCAAGACTCTCAGTCTTAAATCCTCAGTCTTTTGAGTAATACTGTAGGATATTTCACATATTCACTTTGTACTAACAGTCAGGGAAGAAGCACCATGATATTAGATCACTATTACAGCTACAGCAAAGAAAAGGAAAGGAAAACACCCTCCCTCTGTGGAACAGCCAGAGAGAAAGGTCTGAACACACCTACCCTGTCCAGTACTGACTGCAGCCATCCTCTCCAGAAAGAAAATACTCATGAAGACATTGGTGTGAAAACTCACAAATATAATTTAGAAAAGAATGCCCACTTGCCTGAAGCCCCTGTTTTCTGGAGGCAGGAAGTAAGTTGGCAGTTCTTCTGGGTCAGGAATTTTGGGGAAAGATTTCATGCACTCTGATCTCTGAGGCCAAAGAATATGCTGCTTGTCCTAAGGGGGAAAGGAATGATTTTTTTGATTATTTTCTCAGCATTTTTAATATCCTAATTAATCCACTAATAAAAACATAAGAAACAGTCTGGAGGAGAAAAAGAACAGAGATGTTTATCATTTTTTCATTTTTTCTGGGATATCAGCAGTTCATTTTCAATCCTTACTCTTTCATACTGCTTTATTTGCAGCAAATCATTGCCAAGGTAGCTAAGAATCTACAGAACTCTCTGTGCTGTAGTAGAGATTCAAATAATGGGCAACTGGTGCAGAGAAACTACAGAGATGCTTGTATGTTGAAGAAATTCTGAATGCTACATTCTCCAGTGCTGCCACACATCAGAACTGTCTCCCACATGCTCAGAAGTGTCAGAAAAATGAGGACAAGCTTTACTCTTGCACAGCTCCTCTTGGAAAGGGCAAAGCTCATCCCCTTCACTCACTCTGCTGGGTTCCACACTCCACACTGAGAAGACAGAACGAGGAACAGGGGAAGACTGCAAGGACTGGCTGGGGTCACTTTGGTTGGTGTGGAGATCCAGATTCACAGATGTCATACGAGAAGTTGAAGAGTCTTCACCAAACTAGAAAGAAGAGAAAAAACAGGATTTAATAAGAGAGATGGTATATCCCTGGCTGAATTTCTGCACATGATCTTTTTCCCCACCATTTACATAATTAAGCCTCACTGATGAGCTGAAATTTGGGTAGCAGGGAAAAAACCAAAAGGATATTTCAGCCTCTTGATCCACTCACCCCACAGCAAAGTAGCACTCGTGTTGTAAACAAGGCAACAATGAAAACAACAAATGCAAATTAAGGAAAAAAAAAAAAGCTAAAAGGTACCAAACAAACATTTTTAATAGACCACAACCAAACTTTACTTATCTGGATTGTGTGGTTCTAGTTCAAGTCAGAGTTACCAAGACTCATGGCTTGCAAAATTATCTCAATAATCTGAATTTATTATTATAATAGGGACAACATCCAAGAAAAAACATAGCATAATTAAAAATAATTACTCCTGTTTCTTAAATCAGTCACAGGGAAACTCCATAAGACATTCAGTGTTGCAAAATAAAGCAGCCCATAACCTTTATCTGCAGTTTCAACACAGCAGCTGTGCTGCTTGGGTTGCTGTCATTCTGGATATATTCTGGAAAATTCTTAATATTCCTGTATCAGATTTCCTTAGTGAGGTAACTTAAGATGTACAATCAACAAATAGTCACAAAAACTAGCTAACACCTATTTTGGGGCTGTAAGAGCACTCACTAGATTCAACCCCATTTGTTAATTGCTCATGGCAGTTTTGTGCTCCTCCTGGGAGGAGGAAATCATAGAACCATAGAACATTTTAGGTTGGAAAGGACTTTGAAAGGTCATTTAAATTGACCTAGATTACAGTGGAAGGAACATGCAAAAGCTGCACAGCTTGAGTCACACACCAGGGTGATAAACAAAAGAAACTGTGATCTATTTTAAAGCTTCAGAGATAAGTGATTGATAGAGTATTATTATAAGCACACTTGTAAGGCATTAAGTTGGAGTACTCCTTCCACTAAAGAATAAGTCTTGTTCCATACACAACATGTACATTAGAAAAGAAAACCAATTCCTTACAAAAAACTTTAGCCTCCTCATTAACATTAGCTGCATAATGCTTTTTCCTGTCCTTTCTTAAGGAAACCACATTGGAAAATGAAACTTTATGCTCCTGCTAACATGCCTGAAATGTAGTACATTTATGTAAGAGAAAGCTGTAACTCCTCAAGTGAGGATTCTTGTACTTCCTAGAAGGACACACTCGGCTGTGCTGTGCAGGTTGGAAAAGCAAAGGAGTCAATAAAGAAGTGGCTGCTAACTCCTAGAAAACTAAGACTTGGGACTAAAATAGTATTTTTTCACTTCAAAGATTTCTAAGAGCTCTCTTTTCTAAGTCAAACTAAATCTTAGACAATAAACCCTCACATTTCTACCACCCACAGTTGATCTCAGCTTGTATTACTAGTGAAAGGAATTAGCACGAAATACTTCACGCTCTAGAAAAGAGACTAAAACACTTCCCACTGTAATTACCACACCCAAAATGTACCCTCTTTGTCAAGCCTCTATTTTGCTAGCAAGGCAAGGGGGATGTAGCTTCAGGCAGTGGTGTCAGTTCAGGGACCCACCTGGACATACTCCACGTTCTCAAAGAGGTCTCCGCGGTGGTAGCGGACGGGCTGGTCCCACTGGCAGTGCAAGCTGTGCTGCTGGTTGCCCAGCCTACAGATCTGATGGTTCCCTGCAGAGCACAAAAGAGGGGTTTTTTTACTACAGAAGTGAGGTTTCTGAGGCTAGAAACACAACTGAAACACAAACCTCTTCACCCCTAACTTGGTCAGTCCCTCACAGTCAGCACTGTGGGAAATGCCTTTGAGAGACTTGCCAAAATTCTCTTCAATTCTTTAATAAGCCAAACACAACAGCCACTCAGGGCCATCCTAAAGAAGTTGCATCCTGACATTAATCTGAATATGTGCAATTCATTGCTATAATGAGCAGGAAGACTAAAAACTCCACCTAATTGAGCTTCTTTTGCCATCTGCGTCTCGTGAATGATGTTCCTCAAGATTTGTTCCTCCTGGATGAGCTTGTATTTGTCTAAAACATCTTGCTGCCTGAGGTAATGGTCATGCTGCTTCTGATATTCTTTCAATTCATTTAACGTTCGCTGAAGAGACCTTGAAAATTCAACAGTAGAAAAGATTTACTTGGAGAGCTTGTTACAATCTCAGCTTTTCCTACAGCCTTGCACATTTCCAGCTTTGGGTTTCTTCAAGTATTCTTAGGCATAATTTTATTCCATGGTCAAGTAAGGATAGAAAGTTGAAAACCACTGTTCTATTTGAAATTTAAATAACTGCTACAACAGAACAATACAAGTGAGAGTGTGTGAACTGCCACTAGGATGCTTCTTTACTCACCTGTGCTGGGCTTCCAATTTTTGCTCCAGTTTTTGCTGACACAGGACAGCGTGCTTCCTTTTTACAGCTTGCTCAAACCCTGGTTTGGCCTGTAGAGCATGATCATAACACAGGACTGAGTGGTTGTACTCTCCAAGCATCTGAAGGATGACCAAGAGAGAGAGAATTAGCCATTGCTCTGTAATATTCAATAAAAAATATCCCATTTTGAAAGCAGTTTTTAACTACAATTTCAATTTGTGTCACTTCTGAAACCCAAGCCACTGTATCTCCTAGAGAAAAGCTTCAAAAGAATCTCTCTGGGATTTATTCCCAAGTGCAGAGATAAACCTTTGGTGAAAGACAGACTTTTGGATGAA